ACAGATAATATTTTATTTGTTAAGAAAATTAGGGCATATTTATATGTATTGTTTAATTTGTTTACACATCTTATATAATTATGTTGTTAACAAAGTATCTTATTTATTTGGCTACAACTATAATCACATAAGATAAAATATTATTTAATATTATTTATTTATTTATTCATAATAATATATATTTGATAAAATTGTACTTTTATACTGTTTATAAGATTAAAAATTTCACATTTTTTTTTTCATTTTTCGATAAAACATAATGTAACTAACTCATTTTCATATTCATTGAAAGTATATGTTACAACGATTATGGTGTTCCCTTTGAAGAAGTATTGAATAATAGTTTAGCATACTACTCATTTATTTCTCCTTTTAATTCACATAATTAAAATTGACAATAGTTGTAAGTTTACATCTAGTTTTTACTTTTTTCGTCGTATTAATATTTTAAATCTATGTAAGAAAAATGTCCACATGTTTATCTTATGTTAATTTATACTTAGTAAAATTTATTTAACATAGATTTATAATCTATTTTATGAGATACTTTTAAGTCCATTTATTATTTTTAATTGGTATTGATAATATATATATATATATATGTATATTATTTTATATCGTTATAAATAATTATAATATTTTTATTTTATTTACAATAAATTGTCAAATCAAATATCATTGGAAAGAAATGATGTGATGTATTACATATAAAAGGATAACAAATAAAAAAATATTAAGTATTTCGAAAGTCAAAAATTTAATGTTAGAAAGTAATGAAATATTTAACTAAAAAATTAATACCAATTCTAACAAATATTTAAATGTTACTCCTCTCATTTGAATTATTTCAATAAAAAATATAACAAAAATATTTTGTTAGAATCATGGGCAGATCCATTTTCTTTAATACGGTCGACATATGGCTACTTCCCAAAACATATAGCATAATGTATCCAACAAAAATTATGGAAACATTTTTCATAATTTTATTCATTCCTCATATTCAGAAAGTAAAATTAAAAGAAAGAAAGATAAATAATGAATTAATTTGTGACTCAACCAATTATAATTTAATTCAGCTCATAACTTTATTAAAGTTATACCATAAACACAGTATCACAACTAAAGAAAATATGATAAATTTAGAAATTATAATTTCACCCTTTTAATTTTGTTTTTTAATCTTGATAATAGTTTCTATTCTCTCTTTTGCCACATATTTTTTCTCTAATATTTTTCATGTCTCATTTAACTAATGTATATAAAATTAGTTATATATTAATAATTGAAAAATTCATCAATTATATTGCCGAGTCAACTATACCACAACATAAATTTTTTGTTCATAAGAATTTTACAAAATATATTATTTTCAATGATTTTATTATGTTGAAGAAAAATTATGTTTTTTTGTTAATTTATTTTAACTTGTCGCGACTGTATTGATGTATTAAAAATGTATTACAGGTNTTCTCTCTTTTGCAACATATCTTTTCTCTAACATTTTCATGTCTCTTTTAACTAATGTATATAGAATTATAGTTATATGTTAATAATTGACAAATTCATCAATTATATTTCCGAGTCAACTATACCACAACATAAAATTTTTTGTTCATAAAAATTTTAAAAAATATATTATTTTCAATGATTTTATTATGTGGAAGAAAAATTATGTTTTTTTGTTAATTTATTTTAACTTGTCGTGACTGTATTGATGTATTAAAAATGTATTACACGTGAAAAATATGACAAATTACTAAATAAAATATGATAAATCTAAAAATTACAATTTCACCCTTTTAATTTAATTTTATTTATTTTAATCTCGATGACAACTTCTATTCTCTCTTTTACAACATATTTTTTCTCTAACTTTTTTCATGACTTCTTTAACTAATGTATGTGTTATTATAGTTATATATTAATAATTTACAAATTCATCAATTATAATGTCGAGTCAACTATACCACAACCTAAATTTTTTGTTCATAAAATTTTTAAATAATATATTATTTTCAATGATTTTATTATGTTGAAGAAAAATTATATTTTTTTGTTAATATATTTTAACATGTCGTGACTGTATTGATGTATTAAAAATGTTTCACATGTGAGAAATATGACAAAGTATAAATTGTAAAAGCATTATGTTATTTTGATGGTATAGTGCCCCCTGTAAGAAATTATTTTGGATCTGCNAATATTAAATAATGAAAATATTTAGTATTGTATAATTGTAATATGATATTTGTATATTATATTTAAAAAACTAATAGCAAATAAAAAATTTATTTAAAATTAGAACAATCAATTTTTTTTTAAAAAAATTTAGAAGTTCTAACCTAAATGGATAAAAGTACAAATAACTATTGTCTGTCACCTAAACCTTACACATAGAATTAATAATCACAAAAAATTAACAAATGTTTACAACTCAACTCGTTTATATTGATAAATACAAGTTTTAAAAGTTTTATATTTATTTTAATCAATTATAACACTTTTAATATTATTTATGAAATTTTATATATATCTTATTATATATTAATTCCGTACATTTTTGTAAAGAAAAACAATGCTTTATTATAATAATACAGATTGAATAGATGGATACTGGTAATATATCCATATAATTTCTTGGTAAAGATTAATATTTTTATAGATTAATTTAAAAAATAGTATTTCTATACTTCGTGGCCGTTATGAGAACAAACAATGCCGATTTCAAGTTT